CATGTACAGCTCCCACCCTTCACATGTTCTGGAAGCCTTTTACGTTGTGCCCTGTTCCCAGCCCTGGGGTTAGAGTTAGGATGTTTGTGGAGCCCCTGGCAAGTTTTTTCAGGATGTTACTTATGTGGTTTTGTCTGGGCAGTTGCATTTCTTTTTTAAAATTATGCATTCTTTTAAATACTGTAAGCCACCTAGAATCTTTTGAGTTGGGCAACTTCAAAATCCAAAGGAAGGCAGGCAGGCAGGCAGGCAAGGGACCTGGCTCACCCAGGTTTCTTTTATGGCGCTTAAGTAACATTCATGCTGGATGAGACTCTATGCAAGTCTAGTTGCTGCACTACCTGAGATACAGTGGGATTCATCCATCATTCTTCCCATGGCCTCCACCTTCTGCATCTTCCCCATGGCTTACCCCAATGACTCACTCATTTCCACCTATGGCCCATGAGGATGTTGCTAGGTCATTGGCCCAACAGGGTCAGACAGCCACTGGCTCTGAGGCCACATTCCTCACCCACTACCCATACAGTACACAGGTGAGGCTTTGGCCAACAGCAGAAGTAAAACCCAGACAGCCGAGGGCTGCTCAGCATCATCACATAATTGCCTGGTAGCCTGGAAAGTAAGCTATGAATCTTTTTTTTTTTTTAATCCTGCCATTGGGAAATTGGATTTCATCCAGGTCAGATGCACATGGCCTGCAGAGGAAAATCAGTAACTAAAGGTAAAATGCTAGTTAATATCATTGGGGAGTGTGGATGCTTATGTGTGCATATTACTGTATTTCAGTGCAGTAATGTTTTATGCTATACTACTACTATGTGTGAATGATAGCCCAAATGGTTGCTTGGGTGCATATATATGCTCTTGTGATCTATTGAGGTTTAGGGTGCACATCTTAAAAATGGAATCATCTTCACAAGTATACTGAAAGTTCCATAATCTACAGCATAAAAGACTACAGAAAGTCACCTCTCCCTCTACCCTCCCCCCCAAATTCTCATTCACTAGTTTGGCTGGCTGGTCAAATGTGGCTCTTTGAACACCTGATTGCACTTGCCACCTATGAGCAGATTGTCTACAGACATAGATTTTGTATGGACAAGTATAATGAAACATGGGACTCATTTATACAAAATACAGTAGGTTAGGAAAAAGCACAATAGTTATATAATTATATTAGATGTAGACATATTGATATATACTCACATATTATTTGGATTAGATATAGTACTGTGCAAAAGTTTTAGGCAGGTGTGAAAAAATGCTGTAAAGGAAGAATGCTTTCAAAAATATATATTGTAATTGTTTATGTTTATCAGTTTACAGAATGCAAAGTGAGCAAACAGAAGAGAAATCCAAATCAAATCAATATTTGGTGTGACCACCCTTTGCCTTCAAAACAGCATCAATTCTTCTAGGTGCATTTGCACAC